ACTCACGTCTGCAGTGGGGACTATGTGTTACGGTCCATGAAGTTAGGAGGACATCAAGCATCATGGAGAAAGTGATTGAAGACCCCTTGAAAACAGACCAGCTGCCTTTGAGTCAACCTGACTCCTGGTGACCCCACGTGTGTCAGAGTAGAACTCTGATAGGGTTGTCAGTGACTGATTTTTCGGAAGTAGATCGTCTCTGGGTAGACCTGAACCTCCAACCTTGCAGTTAGCAGCCAAGTATGCACTTACATCACCCAGGGACTTCTTTTTAATATTTTTAAATCTTGTTCTACATTTGGCACTTAATTTAAAAATAATGTTTCATAATTCCGACCAGTGTTTATGCCTTAATATTTTAATAAGAGTTACATTTTTTTCTTTATTTTTTGCCTGTATTGTGTTGTCCTTCCCTTCACTGACGTTGATCCTTGTCTACTATCTAGTTAGCGAACTCCCCTGTCTCCCCACCCTTGTAACCATCAAATAATGCCTTTTTTCTGTGTTTAAACCTTTTCCTGAGTTCTTCTAACAGTCTTAGGGTCATCATCAACGGCCATTATATGTGCTTTACGAAGTCGCTGGAACAAAAGGACAAATGTTGTACCAAGGACTCCATAAAGCGCACATAATGGCCGTTGATGATGACTCTAGGGAAGGCTCTGCATCGGTTTCTCTACCAGCCTTGGATCAGACCAGACTCCTCGGGGCAACACAGACGCAGTGGTTAGCTGGACTGTGAACTGCAGTGAACGACAGAATGCAGGGCATCTTTCAAAGCAGACATTTGTTTGTCCTTGGGCACCAAGCCTGGGTCACGTTCTCAGAGAAACGGCTCAGCAGCGTACAATGCATTGATTCTTCATCGACTTACCTACACGTACTTTCCCTGTCATTTATCTTCTTTTATTAACAAACTATTTCTTGAATGCATCTGTGCCAGGCACTGTGGCATATACAGACAAATAGGAAAGAATATAACCAAAACCAAACTGGTTGCCGTCGAGCTGATTCTGACTGATTATGACAACCCTATCAGACAAAGGAGAACTACCCCTATAGGGTTTCCAAGGAGCGGCTTGTGGATTTGAACTGCCGACCTTTTGGTTAGCAGACAAACTCTTAACCACTATGCCACAAGGGCTCCAGAAAAGAACATAGGCAAAGAAAAAATATATGAAACTAATATAAAATGGGAAAATGGAACTAACCTAACATGTATCACAGCAGACACATTTACTGTTTGTTCTTCCTATGGGATACAAGAAAAAGTAATGAAGAAAACAGAAAGCCCAGTAAATAGTTAAAATTCATAGGAGACCAAGGCTTATTAACATACATCAGAAGCAGCCGTCCAGTCTTAAATTCTGATCATTTAGCTAGAAACTAATGCTAGGAGCTGCAAGACTTTCTTGAAATGTTCTTGATGAATGCATTATCTTTTCATTCTACAAAAAATGAAAAAAAGGGAAATAACTTTAGATGAAATCAAAGGAGAACTGACAACAGAAAGTTATGGCTTCTGAGGAAGAAACAGAGATGCTATCTGTCTTGTAAAGGTATTTTAGACAATTTTCGAGAAGTGGAGTGGGTACAACGAAGTCGCTCTATCAATTATGCAGGATTGGATATATAGCACTCTCAAGGGGGTTAAGACAGAAAGTTACTGTCTGTAGGTAATAGGCCATTTTAAATACTAACTTTCTGTATTCATATTTTAATATCCAAAAGACACAGTCTGTTTTACAGATAAGTCACCTGTAAATTTTCATTGGAAAAAATAAACGCTCCCTCCTGGATTTATTTTCTGAAAGTAGAAGGTTCAAGGAAGACCGTGGGGACAAGAAAAAGATGTGTCGCTTAAAGATAAACGATTTAAGAAAAAGCAGTGTTTTCTTCATCTAGGTCTGCAAGGTGGATATAAAATGAATGGTTGCAGCAGAGACATACCTTGTGGCTTATGTTTTCATTTCATTAAAGCTTTATTTTTGTGGTGGTTGTAGGTTCATCGGCCGTTGCAACTAATCATACAGAGAGATCCCATGTTCCCTTTACCGAGGTTTCTCCAATGGTGATATCTTGCAAACTATAGTATAACGATATGTGTTGTTTTTTCCCAAACTGCAATTATCCAGGCTGTCTATCAGTACTATGTGGTGTGGAAATGACCACACCCCACCTTTAATTTAACCACACAGCACCCTGCACTGCTGTGTGCTGGTCAGCTGAATTAACAGAATCCAGACATCCTATACAAACCAACAAAATCTTCATTCCTCCAACAAACTAGAGAATGTACTAATTCATTTAGCAGTTTAAGATCTACAGAGACAACCTCTTAAACAGAAAACAGTTTCTAGGTTTGGGATTAAAAAAAACAAAACAAAATACCAGTGGATTTGTGCACCCAAGTATCCAAATTACCAGAGGCTGAAACTCTTTGAAGCGAGTAAGTATACAATTCCATTTTCTTGTTTCAGATTGCATATGGCAGGTCGACACTCTTTCAAAATCCCTCCTATAGAATCATTTTAGCCTATTTATGCAATATTGGCCCATCTAGTATTCTGTCATGAATTTTACAGTAATAAGTACAGCTTGAGAAGTAATAAGGATTTATTTCTACTTCTCAGAAAGCTGTGCTTCTTCATAAATCCCTGAAGACAGACGCTTCCGTGTCTCTAAAATCAGGTTCGTGAACTCACAGATACGCAACAAGTTGAGGATTACTCTAGGAAGTCGGCAGAGTGACAGAGATTGATAATCAGCTTGCATTGAGTGAACCCTATACCTGTCTAAGACCTGTCATTGGTGACACGGAGCTGAAAGCTGTCACTGAAACGTGTTATCTTTGCAGAAGGCTGTCCAGCATTGCAAGTCAAGTAGACAACCGGATCGGAGAGCTCAGGGAGCTGCCTCTGGCAGCCTGTTGGAACGTGGCACTGAGCTGGCACGCAACTCCAAACTCTCATCATACCCAGTGTGGCAAAGCTCACAGTTCTCCAAAGGACACCCACATGTGAAATATAAAACAGCATCACTGGGGGTAGAAATTCTGAGTTGGTACAATAAGCATATGATCTACGTGGGAGAGAATGGGGTGGGGGTGAAAAGGTGTGCACATATAACATTACTGAAAACGTAAGCCCCCCATGAGCAGCTACTCAAATGGGTGAATCAAGGTACAAGCGGGGTAACCTGCTGTAAGCCAGGAAGGAGAACTGTTGATGCGGACATTATGAAAAAAAGCCCAAAGCCAGGAACCACGGTGCTGAGTGAGTGAGAAGCAATTTTAGGAGTAAGACACACCAACCCAAAGAAGTAAGGCATGAATACTCTTGGACAATGCTGGTTTTGAGAAAGAAATTGGATCCACAAAGCCGCACACACAGCCAGTGAAGTTAAAACAAAAGGCATCTCTGTGACCCACAGCTTGAATAGGAGCAAAGAGTTGAAGGTAAAGTCACTTTAGCCCACCATGAAGGCTTCATGCAGCCAAGGGTCCTGAAAGGGATTACAGAGTGGGTTGTGGTAACATCCCTGGTTACAAAGGGTTGATTTAAAAAGAAGAGAAAAAGAGAAATTTTAATGGGCTTGCGTATGAGGAGTTGGTGGTTCAGTGGTAGAATTCTTGCCTTCCATGTGGAAGATTCGGGTTCAATCCCTGGCCAGTGCACCTAACGTGCAGTCACCACCCTTCTGTCACTGGAGGCTTGTGTGTTGCTATGATGCTGAAAAGCTTTCAGCAGAGCTTCCACACTAAGACTAGGAAGAAAGGCCTGGTGATCAAAAAAAAAAAATCAGCCAATGAAAACCCTATGGATCACAAAGGTCTGATCTGCAATCACTCATGGGGATGGCGCAGACCGGGGCAGCGTTTCCCTCCATTGTTGAAGGGGTCGCCGTGAGCGTGGGGCCAACTCAATGGCAGCTAAACACAACAAAAATTTTAAGTAAATAATAAATAATAAGATATAAAAAAAACTCTTTAGGCACTAACAGAACCCCAGGCGGCCCTAAGGAGAAATTTAATGAAACGTTCCAGTGTTTATTTTCAGACTGGACAGTGGGGCAGAGCAAGGTCTTCTCTGCTACTTAACATGGACAACCTAAACATGAAGAGCAGCTCAACAGTGACCAATGGGAGGCAGCTCTGTGCCCTGGCCAAGTGAAAGGATGATGCTTCACGTTCATAAATTCCAGAACACAAGTGGGATGGGTAAAATGAAGCAAAAGGATCGGTCTGCTGGTCTGCTACCTAAAGGGATGAGACACCGTTCTTCTTTATTCTGCTACAGCAAGAAATATTAATGAAACAAAATCTCAAGGGAGACAAGAATTTGATTTCCATTTGTTTGGAACAGTGCCGTCCAATCGAACTTTCGGCAATGACAGAATGTTCTGTATCTGTACTGCCCAATGGGGTAGCCACTTGCCACATGTGGCTACTGAGCACTCGAAATGTGGCTAGTGCAACTTCAAAACTGAATTGTTAATTTTAACTAATTAAAACTGAAATAGCCACATGTGGCTTAGGGGCCACCATATTGGACAGCACAGGTTTCCGAAGGTCTGGGTCATACCTGGCTAACATGGGTGGCAATTTAAGGGCAAACCCTTCCTCCATCAATGCAGTAGCAGGAGCATTAATAACAACAATATCCAACACACGTAAGTGCTATGTGACAAAGCCACTCAATCCACTTTACGTACTGACTCATTTAACCAGAGCGATCCTAGGAAGTTGTTACCATTTTATTATCCATATTTTATATGTTTTCTTAAAAACTAAGGCACAGAGTGATTAAATAATTTGTCCAAAGTCACACAGGAAGTCAAGAAGCTGGTTGGCAAACCAAGGGCCAATTCCAAGCTCTCGCTAGCTATAGGTGCCCCGTAGCTACACGCACTCTTTAAGGAGAAAGTCCCGGTTAAGTTTCCCAGCGACACTGAGAAATGTGTCATGTGGACCTGTGGCAGGTAAAGAAGACACAGTCTACCTGTTTTCCCTGTGTTTTTCATCCAGGTTTTGTTAGAGGACTCGTTGTCGAAGCCATCGAGTTGCAGGTCTTGGTACTCCTCGCCGACACGCGCGTCCTGGTCTAGAATGTCTATAGGTGACTGGTGACGGCCCCCACAGCTGACGCTGGACGTGATCCAGTGCTCAGGGCCATAGGCACCTGTGGAAGAAAACAAGAGTTCAATCCTGATGGCTCAAGGGCTAGAGACGGAACTACTGAGACTGCAGACCTCAAGCACTGCCTCTCTCAAGGGACATTTTCTACATGTGCCCACCTGGGGAGATTCGAGTACTGAAAACAAAGGCTCAAGAACCACCCGCTCAATATGGCGAGGAGATTTAAGAAAATATACTCTACTTAAGATAGTTTTGCTTCTTGATTTGCAATCAAACATTTGCTAACTTCATCGTTAATCAAATTAAGAGTTGCCCAGAAGGGCTGTCAGAGTCGTTCGTATTTTTAAAAAATCTAATGAGTGCTCTAAAACAAGCAAAACACCTCAACCAACCAACGGAGCCCGTTTTGCTATTGTGAGCAGCATCCTAAACACAACGGTTCTTCGCAATGCACAGGAGCTTGTGAAAAGGAAAAGAAACAAATATCTAAAAATTACGAGCAACCCCCAACCAGATGAGTCATTACAAATCACATAGGTACCAAGGTATGTTTTTCCCTTTGGCTGAAGGTGAAAGATTTTCAGTGCGGCCACAGCTTGCACACGTGCACTCTGACAGGTCAGGGTTGGAGTCAGGATGCGGCTTAACATTGCTTTAGGGCTGGGGTCAGGGCTAGCGATTTGGCTAATGTTAGGTTTCAGGCTATGTCTAGGGTTGGTGTCAATGTTAGGGTTAGGGATAGGGTAAGGGTTAGATCTAGGATTTAGGTTAGGTTAGTGTGAGGGTTAGGGTTACTGTTAGGGGTAAGGTTACGGTTAGACCTATGGTTATGGTCAGGGTTAGTGTGAGTGTTAGGGTTAGATCTAGGGTTAAGGTTACATCGCGTGTTAACTTGTACACTCACATGTCCTTCTCTCTCCCTTTCCCTCATACCAGATGGGGAGGGGGGTAATAAGTTTCTTTCTGACTGGACTCACTCAGCGTTCATATAAATAAAAGCTTTATTGGACTTACACCACAGAAATAAAGGGAGAAAATGTGACCATGAAGCCTACTTCTATCGGGAGGTTAAGACTATGGAATAATGAGAGGCAGAGAACATGTTGCATCTGCCTTTGTGCCCATTTACAAATGAAATATTATGGGAGCAAAGTCTACTAAGTTGATAACAAGCCCTGAACTTGGCCTAACCAAGCAGGTGCAATCTGTTAAAAAGAATCAATCTTTATTAACATAAATCCCTTTTTTGAGAATTAGATATAAAATGGTTTAAACTTTTTAATTTTTACAAGATAAAACTCAGATTTCCCAATCAATAAGTTTAAAGTGTGTATATACACACACACATATATATACATATAGACACACATATACATACACTTGTGTATAACTTTCAGGAGACCGACCCAGCCACCGACAGCATCTCCACGCCCACAGTGTGTACACAGCCTTGTGTGTTAAGGCTTCATCTCGTCCTCCACCGCACATCTCCCTCCCTGAAGAAGAGCCCCACTGGTGCCCATCACGGCCACCAAGTGCTGTGTCGCTTTCTCATTCCTTTTCTTCTCACTTCCTTTATTTCACCATTTACAGCAGATGTAGACAAGGGTACCGTGAAAAAACGGGACAACCACACAAAATCTTCTCCGTCACGGTAATGGAAGCTTCCTGGCTGCAAGAATAATTGATGCAGCTCCCTAAAATTGATTCATACCCTTGCTAGCTGGGAAACAACCCAGCCTCGCTATCAGTCTGGGTCATTTTCCCTAATCTTCATTGAAATGATATGACAGAAAAGACTATCAGAAAGAACATGTACACTGGCAAAGGTCTAGCAACCTCAGAGCACTTTCAAAGATCATTTACAAGGGCTATAGTATCTCCTAGAAAAGTTAAAAATCACAATTTTCTTGATCGTAGAACTCCAACTAAATCAGGAAAGGTCAATAGTTTCTCAATCACGTTGTTTCACCTCTTGGTCAAACTCACAAAGACCGTGATAAGTTCTAAAGGAAGAGCGTGCGTATTTGTCTGCCAAGGGAGGAACAATGATCTGCCTGACTCTGACCAGTCTTTATTTCCATTTTACATCTACACATGTGAAGAAAAAAGGGCATGCAGTAAGCAGCTCCAGTGAGCTGTCTACTACTAAAATTTTCTACTAGATACCAAAGGAATCCATTGAAAAAATGAATACAGTGACAGTCGATATATTTGATACTGACAATATTAAAAATGTGGTTTACCACAACTGGACCTGTATCTTCAAATTATAGAAACCACTGTTTTAATACTGTACACACACACACACGTAACCAGTTATCGTCAAACAGACTCTGACTCATGGCGACCCCATGGGTGTGAAACTAGAATTGTGCTCCATAGGGTTTTCAGGGGCTGATCTTTCAAAAGTAGATTTCCAGGCCTTTCTTCCGAGGCAACTCTGGGTGGATTCAAATCCCCAACCTTGCAGTTGGACCTTTTAGGAACTCATTAGTCCAATAAAGTCACGATCGATAGGAAAAATTGCTATGGAACACGATATAAGAAATCCTAACATATATGACTCCAAGGAAATAAGAACGTAAGCCATCATTTGTGAAAACACACAGACACCTGATAATTATCCTAACGAAAAAATCCACTGCAACCTCTGAAAAGCACTTGCCATTCATATGATTTCTTATAACCTTGCAGACATGGGTGAAATATAATTTAGCACTCTATAAAAATATAATCAGGATTCGTACCAGCAGGATTCACTTATTCAGTGCTAACAATCTGAAAATTTTAAGCCAACTACATGCTTGCTTTCACACTTCTACCCAACATACGTTCAAGTGCAATTTTAATTGAAACTGATCTTCCACTTCAGATTTTAAATTAATTCTTCTTTGGAGTGCTTCATGCTCCAGACACCCTTGCCTTGCAAAAACCCCTATGTCATTAGTGGAGGAAATAGAACATTTTTTCCAAGCTTGCAGGTATTGATTACCTATTCTCACATCAAAGGACCGTGGCCATTCCACACTGTATAAATCTCCCGGGTGTTAAGACATTTTGTAAAGGACTGAGAATTGTATCATTAATCATTTGCAGTTGCCCAAGTCTCACAGTATTGAATGCTTTGTTTTTCAGAACTTTGAATAAATGCTTTTAAATAAAAAACATGACACTAAATAAAGACTGTGTTTAACTTAAATCTAGTTTTTTGGGGAAAAACAATCAGCAAGAAGCCTTCCTCTCTCAGGTATGACATTACCCATGTGTGATAAAGGAAGGCAAAGCCATTTGCCAGTTAGATTCCTTTTAGTGATTCTTCCTCAGAACGAGCAGGCTCATTCTGCATTTTCACAGCTGACAACCCATTCTGAACAGCTCACCAGCTCTGACACGCCAACCTAATACACAACGCGATGTTTCCAAAGCAGAGAGGTAGGGGCGCGGCGGAGACCACAGGGCAGTCTGGGCTGCCAAAAGTAATTTCCCGTTCAACTGTTGGGAGTCTTGTAGGAATTAGATCCTAATGGAGACATATGGCCAACCTATAAGTACCAAGGGAATTTAACAATATTTCTCACTCAACCTATGATGAACAATATTTTCTTTTTTAAGAATTCAGTGAGCACATCTGGACTCCCTGGCTAAAGGTTTGATCTCAGTTTAAATGCCCCTTTGTCAGGGAGGCCTTCCGTGACAAAGGCACAGGAGTTATCTGCTCTCCCGGCGCTGGGTCTTCAGCTTCCTTCAGACTTCATCATCACTATTATAATTCACTGTTTATTCCTTAGCGTCTGTCTTTCTCACTGGGTGGTAAACTCTACCACAATAGGCTCTTTCTGTCTTTATATTTATATCTGCCACCCATTACTGTGGCCATTGAGGCGATTCCAACTCCTAGTGACTCTATAGGATAGGATAAAGTAGAACTGCCCCATAGGGTTTCCAAGGTTAGCAGCCAAGCTCTTAACCACTGCACCACCAGGGCTCCCATATCTAGCACAGGCGCTTAAACCCACTACCATCGAGTCAATTCCAACTCATAGTCACACTATAGCACAGGGTACAGCTGCCCCATAGCGTTTCCAAGGCTGGAAATCTTTATGGAAGCAGACTGCCACATCTTTTTCCCTCAGAGCAGCTGGTAGGTTTTAACCACTGACCTTTTGGTTAGCAGTCAAGCACTTTAACCACTGTGCCACCAGTGCTAATATGTATTTTTTGGGGTACAAATAAATTGGAAGAAAAGATTAAAGAGTGGGAGAGTTCTAACCTTCTAAAGACATTATGGAATGTTCTCTGTGCATTAGTTCGGTGTTACTTTTATACATCCATCTACTAACTTCTTACTAAGTCTTCCTCATTTCCTGGGAGTCAAGAGTCAGGATATGTCAACTTCAGAATTAAAGACTCCTTTTCCTCATTAACACGTTAAATTAGTCTGAACTGTGACAAGGTAAGATAAGCTACAAATATATTAATGTGCACAAAAGAATCTGTGTACAAACTGAACAACCCCACCAAGGGTGACGGTTTCTTTTTTTTCTAATTTAAAGAAAGGAAGATGGTAGAACCATTGCTTTCACAATGCCTTCTGTAAAGCATAATTCTTTTTAAAGCTCTCTTCTTTTTTTCTCTGCTTTAATAGACTTCTAATTAAAGAAGGTCAACCAAGGAGGAAAATTAGTCTTACTAATCAATCCATCACTGTACTCTTTTAAATATTAACTCAACACTTAGTGCCAGGCGTGGAGCAGAGAATGGGTGCTAGGGATCCCAGAGCTGCCCCAGTTCCCTTGGGATTCCCTTAGGTAACTTACTTAAGCCACCTGTAGCTCGGCCTCCTCATCTGTAGGAAAATGAATGGTGTCCACGCCAAAGGGTGGTGGTTAGGATTATCTGAAATAGTCCACGCAGTACTTAGAACAGTGTCTGGTACACAATAAAAGCTCAGTAAGTGTCAGCTGCTATTATAACGACACTGTTATATGGAAACATGTAGGCCAATCAAAGGCTAAGGTAGGATACAGGTATTTCATGGTA